ACATGTTCCCGGAGCATGAAGCATCCCGGCCCGGAGTCACTGTCACCCTGCCTGAATAGTCCCGGGTAGTGCTTACGAGTGCTGGCAAGTATCGGTCAGTTAGCACTGGTCGGTTTATTAACGTCAACGCTCGCAAGCAGGGAGTTGATTGGAGTCGAACGCGATCGGTTCGGTGACATACTGCCGTGGTGGATCGTAATATGTCATATCGTTGCGTTTTCCACGGAGGATCAGTCGTGGGTGTGTTTGCGACTTTGTGAGAGAGAGAGAGAGAGACAGAGAGAGTGAGTGAGAGAGAAAGAAAGAGAGAGAGATTGTTCGTTTCGTCGTCCGTGCTAATCGATGCTACAGCGCGTCCGTATTGCGTCAATCTTGGAGGTCTTCCATCGAGATTTCGCGGCACGTTTATGATGTAGACGTACCTCTCGAGACGCACAAGGCGAGCCTCGGGATACGCTCGAAACGGACATTTGCTCGTGCGTAAGTACGTCATGTGTACGCTAATATAGACGCTGCTTCTCTTTCTCTCCTTTTTCCTACCGGCCACCTTACCTATGCCCCCCCTCCGGCTCCGGTGCATTCAGGTGCATCGTTGCTCGTTCCCTCGCAATCCCTCGCGACGCGGCCACCGCGTGCCACCTTCAGCGTGTTCAAAGAAATTATCGTCAGATTTTCTCACGTCTGACACAAGCATTTGGCATAAGGCGCCGTTATCAGCATCAATCGGCGCTAGCATCTTGTAGGTACTCCTGGCTGCTTCTGGCTCTCTCTCTCTCTCTCTCTCTCTCTCTCTCTCTCCATCCTTTCTTCCTTCTACCAAGCCGGTTACGGTTACGTACAAATAAATGACAAAGTTACATTGATTTTCTGTCTCGTCCCTGCGAGCATCGCGTTGAAACGTGCTCGTGATGCGCCCAAAGACCGGACGTCTTGTTGCAAACTGCGAATGCACCGCGGGCGAGATGTTTTATTTACACAAGTACTTACAGATGGCAATTTATCTCGACGTTGAACAAGCGCATATGCCATAATTTATTATATCGCGATGTAAAGATATATGCGGGAGATATCGCACTAAAGATATTATTACACGTCAGAGAGCCACGTTGTATTGTACCCATACTATCGAATTGTAAGTACCTTTCGCCATGTTCCAAATAGAAAAGCATCTAGGCTAGCTAGGAAGAAACGTAGCCGAAACGATTGGATGCGATTGAATGAAATTTCAGAAAGAGAGAGAGAGAGAGAGAGAGAGAGAGAGAGAGAGAGAGAGAGAGAGATAAATATGTTAAAGTTACCGCTAGTAGCAGCGAATAGCAATTTGCAACAGCTGCAGCATTTGTGGCAATTTGTGGCGCCTTAACCCTTTAGCCGACTTTGCCGCGTGAAAGGCGCTTTCTATAATTCTATCGAATTCTATCAGTGATTCGCGCGACCAGCACGGCGCGACCCGTCGATCGATGGTTTGGCGTAGGTAGAGGATTCACCACGCTTCAAACTCACACTGAAAAGTCTCCAAAAGCGGTAATGTTTTTCGTCCCAAAGGAAATTTCCTCTTCACTTTTTTCAACACGCCTCGTGTTTGCTGTGCGATCTAATTACTTCCTCGTCGCGCGTCTCTATTATTTTTAAACCCGCGACTACCTAATTATAATCCGCGATAACGGCCACGTTTAATCATCTAGAGTCGTTAGATCTCGCCGTCGGAAAATATCGTGTACGATAGGGACGTTTCGTTACCTTCTAAATTCTTCCTTTCCTCTGCTCCGCGAATTACTCCAATGTAACGTCTCGCCGCGCGAGAGATCGATTATGATCTGTGTAAATACCAAGTGAGAAACGTGTTGATGGAGAGTATAACGTTTCGATTTCTCGCATGTTATGTTTCGAGAACCGTGTACAATGTAGGTCAATGAACATTTAAATCGACTCGGAGATTTGAAACTTACTTCCGAACCAACACTGTCAGCAGGCCTTACATTTTTCAGCTTATTACTACTACATTACCTACTATTCTGCGGCCAAGGCTTTTAGGTTTCACGTTACCGTCGTTCAAATCAAAACGTTCGGAGACAAGATAACGCAAGTAACGTTTTTATCATCATATATTATATTACAGATTTGAGCAGCGCCCTGATCAAACGAATAGTGAATTGTTTATTTTCCCCGGGATGCTTTTAAACTTGAAACGTGAAAATACAGTCGATATATCAAATTTGTATCGCCAACTAGGATGTATAAATTGATAGCAGTTAGCCGCGAGATTGAAGTATTGCGTATTGTTGCGTGGCTATCACAACCTAATATCGTATGACATTCCGGTGAAAACTCCATCGTTATTCACTGAATTAGTTGAGAGAGAGAGAGAGAGAGAGAGAGAGAGAGAGAGAGAGAGAGAGAGAGAGAGGTTGGCGCAAATAAATTTGTCGAATCTCTCTCTCTCTCTCTCTCTCTCCGAAACGGATCCGTTTCTTTCCCTTTTTTTTTCATCACGAGGATTAACGTTTACTTTGGTAAACATCAGAATGTGGAGCACCGGACGACCGAAGGTTGTGCCTCATCGTACTATTGTACTATACATATACAATAACACTGCCGTGTGCAATTGCTGTTATAACGTCGCATGGCTGGCGTATGCCGTATGCGACGCGCATTATATGTATGTACGTGGCGATATGCAGAGTGATGCAGAGCCGAAGCGATCAACGCGACGTGGATTTGTCGCATTCGATATCGTGCAACTATGCAGCGCGATAGATATGCGTTGAGTCACACAATCGCGGTATCGTTTTACCTCGAAATTATACCTTATTTGCCTTATTTGCCTTATTTAGTTAAACATTTTTAAACATTACCAAACGCACCTGCAGTTTTATTTCTCGAAATTTTTCGAAAATCACACCATCTTTTTAAGGATATACGGGATGTAGAATGGGTCCATTAAGTAAGGCCGCATTGGGGATGTAGAATGGGTCAAGGGGAATAAAAAAAGTCTTATACTTTTTGTAATTTTCTCAATAGTTAACAAGATATTAATTACTAAAAATAGCCGAATATTGGTCTTCTATAAAATTTTTTCTCAAATACTATGAATTTGACAAAAAACCTGTAAGAGATAAAAATTGTTTATTTTCTTCTCATAGAACTCTAAGAATTTTTTCAGAATTTTTATCAACTTTTTAGTACGGCATTTTCTTATTTTTATCATCGTGAGAAAATACGATATTATAAAATTCTGAAAAAATTCTCAGAACTTTATGAGAAGAAAATAAACAATTTTTCTCTCTTACAGATTTTCTGTAAAGTTGATAGTATTTGAGAAAAAAATTATTAAAGACCAATATTCGGCTATTTTTAGTAATCATTTATATCTTGTCAATTATTGCAAAATTGCAAAATGGTATAAAACTTTTTTATTTCCCTCGACCCATTCTACGCCCCCAATGCGGCTCCGACCTTACTAACAGACACCCATGTATATGTGTACTTTTATTCTAATATAATATTACAATATTTTGTTAATATAAATTATGCGATAAATTTTACACAAATCTCATTGAACGATTATCTCAAGTAAATTTACGTTTATTGAAAACGTCATGCGCTCGTCGAGATCATTAAATTTCCATGATAGTAACAGACCGACATTATTTTTTCAATGTACATTTTATATTACCTTTTTTGTTTGGTTCTTTTTTTAGATTATAAGATTTGAAAGATTTAGGGATCTGTTCAAACTCGCAACAATACTTGATTGCAAAGAAAATAAGTCTTTAGCTATGAGCTGCGACTAAAATTTCATTGCAGATCTAACAAGTGTTTCAACACACAAGCGGAAATTTCGAAATTCTTCCAATCATGCCGATGGAATTTTTGGAGCGGTTACCATTTCCGAATCTTCGAGTGTATGCCGCCATAAGCGTCACCATACTTTCCTTTTCTATATACTATGCCACTCAAATAATTAAGGATCCTGCTTGGAAAACGAATCATACGCATGTCGATGTCGGAGTTCATTCTGGAGGCGACATTCTCGATCCGACTGATCCGAGAAGTCTTGGCACGCATCTTAAAGAACTCTTGGAATGTATGGTGATGGAACCTGTCTGTGTTTGGGTATGTTTATTCCAAGTAAATGAATATAAAACCAGTTAAGAATATAATAAATCCTAATACGTAAGCTTTACGTTTATATTTAAATTTCCTTTCGATATTATCATATCGTTGCACTTTTTAAAAACTTGTTACTGTCAGAAACTTTGAAGAGTAGATGGCATTATAAAATTTTATATGGTTCTTTATGTAATCTATTACCTTTTATAATTAGCTGTAAAGTAATTTTCAAGTTATAGTTTGCATTGTCTTCTTGTCTTCTATCTGTATATAATAATAGCTAATGACCATCTGTCTCGTCAAGCGAGTTAAAACGAAAAAAAAAAAAAAAAAAAAAAAAAAAAAAAAAAAA